GACAGAGCGTGGCGATTACCTAGCGCACCCACGTACTGCGTGAAACACGTATGTACTTGCATTTATATCTCAGCACCCACACAGTTTCAAGAAAAGGTTTAGAAAGGCTGATGGTATACCCCCATTTGGAAATGTACAAAAGATGCTCACAGTGATCTGAAACTCCTCAAGGAAAGCAGGAGGATCCACGACTAACCTGGGGGGGGGGTGTCCCACACATGCAGAGGTGGAGACGTGAAATCCCCCTGGCCCCCCGTTTCAGATGGTTAATCAGACACACCCCGACACAAACGATGTTACTGAATGTGGACAGCGTCTTCCGTTGTGGGGCGAGGGGCAGTCCTGGCTGCGGAGAGTCAAGTCAGTCAGTTGCATCGCTCTCTGTTCAGGTCCCTGGAGGATTAATCTGTCCCGCAGGCTGGGGTTCCCAGACCCGAGTTCTCCCATGAAGGAGACTGAGTGACACCAAGTGTGTGAGGCCACATAGGAAACACAGCACCAGTTTATGTCAAGACTTTGAAGATAGGTCAGCATTTGTTCAGCCGTGTTTATAACAGTATAATTTACAGTAGCCAGAAAGGTGGAAACAACCCAAATGTCCATTGGCAGATGACTGGACAAACAAACTTTGGTAGATATATACAATGGAATATTATTCAGTCCTGAAACAGAAGGAAATTCTGACGTGCTGTAACATGGATGAGCCCTGAAGACACCGTGCTAAGCGAAATAAGCCAATCACAGAAAGACAAGTACTGTTGTGACGCCACCTTTATGAGGTGGTGGAGCAGTCAAGTTCACAGAGACAGGGTGCCGGAGGTTGGGGGGGAGGGGGAAGCGGCGACTGTTGTTTTATGGGTCTAGAGCTTCACTTTTGCAAGATAAAAAAGTTCTAAGGATTCCTTGCAAAACAATGTGAATATACTTAACCTTACTGAACTGTACAATTAAAAATGTTTAAGATGGTAAATACTATGTTACATGCATTTTACCACAATTAAAAAGAAATCCTTTAGAAAAAGGACTTTGAAGACAGGTGAATAATATACATCTGTACTATTTAAAACAAGCACGTGTACTTTCTAAACTCAGAACATCTGGGTGCAAATTTGGACTTTTTTCTTTCTTTAATTGAAGCGTAGTCAGGTTACAATGTTGTATTAGTTTCTGGTGTACAGCACATTGCCTCAGTCACACATGAATATACATATATTCATTTTCATATTCTTTTTCACCATAACGGGCTTACTTCTGAGCCTTGAGGAAGCCACGTAACCTCTATGGGACTTGGTTCACTAATTTGGAAAGCAGGCTTAGCAGTAGCACCTCACAGGGTCAGTGTAAGGATTAAATCGTCTGCATCCATGACGGTTCACCCCACAGAAACTGCTGCCTTTGTCTCATGTTTCCAGCCGCTGTGAGGATGGGCACCTGTCCATCTGCATCTCCCATCCTCTCCCTGCTCCTGATGACACTGGGGACCTTGTTCCCTGATGACACTGGGGACCTTGTTCTCCCTGCTCAATAAATAATTGGCTGCTGTTCCCAATATCCAGACACTGGGCACAGTAAACTTCTCGTTCTGCCTCCACTGCATCTGTTTTCTTCCCAGAAATGTTCCTGAGATGGCTTTGAAGGGTCATTAGCCCCCAGGCCCATCCGGAAGGAACAGATCAGGAAGTGTGTATCTAGGACTGTCTGGTTCCCACCAGCAGAGATGCTAAGAAAATGCTTCAATACCACACTTGACATTTTCAAAAGATGCGATCGGATCTGAATTATGTTCCATGTTGAAGGAAAAATTAAATAATTCATGACACTAACCCACTGCTGTCTGAACAAACATTGCTTGTCAGAAGTACAGTGCTGTCTGTGGTAGGTCATGAATTTGCATTTCTAGCAATGAAGCCATTTATTATTATTTCTTTCTTTATTTTTTTTTTACAAATATCAAGTTCTTATATAACCTGCCTTTTAAAAAAAAAAAAGACTTTCTGCCTTGACATAAAAACCGATTGTTTTTAGACTTCATCCCTCACATTACTCAATTTCTTTATGTTTAGTTTTTCAATTCAAAAATTACCTGTTGATTGAGCGACTGCTGTGTTCAAGTCCCTCCCTTCAGAAATGTATATACTACAAAGGGAATATAAAGAGTGTGCCAATGGTTGTCATTTAAAACAGAAGCGTGAGGGTCACAAGAGGGGCCAAAGCTCCAGGAGGAAGAAGCCAAGGCTGCACTCCCCACCCGTCCTGCGGGGACAGCCGGGCAGCTTCCTTCCTCCCCGTCAAGTTCAGTGCCACCAGTCCCCGCCGCGCTCATCGGGACCGCCGCCGCGCAGGGCTGCCTGCGCTGAGGACTCACCGGGATGCCACACGGAAGTGCCTGACTCCATCAAGTCTACAGACAAGCAAAATGATGACAAGAGATGAAAAGCTGTGCTGTCTGAAGTGGGACGGAAGCCCACACAGCGCACACAAGCTCAGAAAGTCGCTGTCAGCGTACCTGTAGCACGTAACTCTTCTACCAGAGTCAAAATGCGAATTCCCACTTGAACATTCAAGTTAAAGTGTGGCTGTGACATTTCCTGTGTCAACCTGAAGTGGCCGTTTCTCAGGACACACGACTACAAAGAGGTGGATTCAGAATGGCTGCAGACTTAAAAACCTGGGCTGGTTCCCACGCCCACAGCCGGGTCACCAGGCTCCCAACCCCGCCCGCCCCCCCACATCAAGCCCGCGG